TTATAAGTATAAATTTTACAGTTGCCGACATAAAACTAAATGAATAAAAATATAAATGAGAGAGTATGATGAACGATTATTTTATGATAAGTCGTAAAACGAGATAAATATAAACACATGTGCTAAGAACCGTTTTATTATTCTAAAATCTGAGACTGGGTAATATACAGAAGCCTTTCGCGTTCATTTGCAGATATATGAGGATCTTTAATACCAGTTTTATTACGAATAGACATCTTTACTAGTGCCCGTCTGAAGCCATATATAATTCAAAAGTCCAATAAAATAATGTTTGCTACAGAAACAAAATGTATGCAACTTTATATAAGAGAAACCGCTTTTGTATATAAAATGTACGTCGCACCAATACAGTATAGGTCATGTCGACTTTCCAGCTAATAAATAAAGATAATACTTAAAAAACCTATGTTGGGAACTGCAAATAAAATTCTAATTAATGATAAACATAATTTGAATTGTAGATGTAATATGATAACTTAAAATTATAATTGTTTAAGTTAACAAAGATTGTAAGAAAAGGAGATTATAAAGTAAGAAAAAAATTCAGAACGGAGGCATTTGTGCTCTAGTGGCTTAATAGCTATAGCGTTCTAGTGGTTTAATATAGCGTTCTAGTAGTTTAATATAGTTATAGCGTTCTAGTTATAGTATTCTAGTGGCTTAATAATCATAGTGTTCTAGGGGACATATAGTAATAGTATTCTAGTGGCTAAATAGTTATTAAGTTTCATTGCCATAATAGTTATAGTGTTCAAGTAGCTTAATAGTTATAGTGTTCTTTTGGCTTAATATTAATATTGTTCTAATGGCCTAATATTTAAAGCGTTCTTGTGGTCAAATAGTTATAGCGTTATATAGTTATAGTGTTCAAGTGACTTAATAATTATAGTGTTTTGTATTGGCTTAATTGTTCTAGAGTTCTAGTGGCTTAATACATACAGTGTTCTATTGGCTTAAAAGTTATAGAATTCTAGTTACTGAATAGTAATAGTGTTGCCGTGGCTTAATTGTTATAGCGTTCCAGTGGCTTAATAGTTATAGTGTTCTAGTCCCCTAATAGTTAAAGTATTGTAGCAGCTTAATAGTTAAAGCGTTCTCGTGGACTAATAGTTATATTGTTTTAGCGGCATGATAATTATATTGCTCCAGTTTCTTAATAGTTATAGTGTTTTATTAGCTGAATAGTTATTGTCTTCAAGTGGCCAAACAGTAATAGTGTTTTAGTGACTAAATTGTCATAGCGTTCTATTGACTGAATAGTTATAGTGTTCTAGTGGCTTAATAGATAAAGTGTTCTAGCGGATTAATATAATAATTATTGTCTTCCTGTGACTTAATAGTTATAGTGATCCAGTGGCTTAATAGTTAATGTTTTCTAGATGTTTTAATAGTTATATAGCGTTCTAGTGACTGTAAAGTTATATTGCTCTGGCGGCTAAATAGTTATTGTCTTCCACTTGCTTAATAGTTATAGTGTTTAATTGGCTTAATAGTTAAAGAGCTTTACAGGCTGAATAGTTACAGTGTTTTACTAGCTTAATAGTTAGTGTTCCTTGTGGTATGTTCAGTAATGTGCCAATATGCCGTTAAATCCAAACAAAAAACCCCAAAGAATTCACACACATACACGCACACACGCATGCGCACACGCGCACGTACGTGAGATACAACGCTAAGACATAATGAAGAGTTGATAAAGAATTATTTACAGTATGGGACTACCATATTTCACCAAGCAGTGGAACAATTTCCATCTACGACATTGACGGAAATTTATTTGTATTTTTCATTCTGTGGTAACACTTTAATGTGTTTTTCTTTGATGCATTGACACTTCTATTCTATTTAATTCAGTACGAGTATAATTTGATTTTTCGATTTTATAAATCATTGATAAGTCTACACTCCACGTTGCTCAATGAAATGTCTCCGATGATTACAGAGTAGAAATTTCTTTGTCTTGAAATCGAATAATTTTGAAAGGAAAAGTAGAAAAGAGTTTTACTTCAGTTATAACAAACAACAGATTTTTTTATATAATCCAACATCATACAATTTCTACAAAGCAAAGCAAAGAGATCTTCTTTAGTCTGTATTTTACTCTAAAAGCGTGAAATGTGTAGTACGCCAATCACAGACCAATTATGACAACCCCTCTATGTTCAAACATTTTGAATAAAATATGTCACCTGTTTTTTTATTTCTTTAGACAGTAGATATAATTTTATTGATATTTTGTATTGCTTTTGATGATTAATCATGTTGCACAAATCGGAGTATGATTCAAACTGAACAGTTATTCGGATAACACATGCAAATAAGAAATCAGGATATGTGACATTAGTAGGCATGTATGCGTGTGGGTGTGTGTGCGTGCGCGCGCGGGTGCGTGCGTGTGTGTGTGCGTGATACACGAATACGTAGCTCAGTACGGACCCCAGACAAATCATGCTCTAAACATTTTAATTTTCTAGGCTCACGCACACCAGTATTCTTCTTTGTCGTCCCGGCCTACTCTTTACGGCCACTCCCCCGGCTTCAGTAAGGACATAGGTGTAGCTATGTAACTACATAATAAGTGATAGTTTGACCCCTGGGATCTGCCCTTTTTGTTAAGTAACAAAGTTACCAGTTAGTGTCGTTAGTGTGTGATGAAGCAAAGTGCGACCTAGCTCCAAATCTCCTACCGATATGCACAACGACGGGCACATACCGAAGGGATAAAAGAAGGGATAAAAATTGCTTACTGTACATGCTTAGTCAGCCAATGAAAATCCGAGAAATTCATTTGCATCATTGCGTTTGTTTATTTCAGATTATCACTCTGTATTTATGTACATTTTTTCCTGCATGTCAGACATAAGTATCTAACTTTTTAATGTTCCAAAAACGTCATTTGGATAATATTGGTATTTGTAAACATGTAGAAACTTTCTATTTGCCACAGAGGAGACACCCTGGTTAACAACGTATGGCTTATTTTCTTCTTTCTCACATTTTATAATAGCATTCCTACATGTAAATACTCAGGAAAAAGGTATTTTAAAGAAGCAATATGTTGTTTATTCCGGATACGGCATGATCCTCTCTTATATGCGTGTATAAAGACACATAAATATGGAGACCATAATCAAAGTTCCAGTCAAAGATTTTAGCATAACATAGGTTTTTACGAACAATTTTGTAACCAATATATATATTGTACTGTTGTACTGTTGTACTAGAGTTGAAAATGAAGCCATATCAAGTATAATCTTGAAGTCATTTTTTGTAAAGTTCCCCTAAATACAAAAGTTTAAGTCAGGCATGTACAGGAGTATCAAGTCAAGTTATGCAAATTCTCAGCAGAACAACTGTTACAGTATAAGAGATAGTTTGTTAAGAAATATCTGATAAATAACGAGAAAAACTGTCTTGTTTTTATTTTTCTCTTCTTGTTTTTTTTGTTCTTTTATCCTTATTATTCATTTAAAATTTAAACAAGAGAAATGAAGATTTACCTCAAACTTGAACTTATCCGCTAGTGCGATACGACAGATATATATAATATCATGTGTGTTCAATTGACAAAATGACAGTTACAACAAGGTATGAAAGCATACGGAGAAATCTTTCTTGGGAAATGACGCTATAATACGATAGACATTTATCAGAAAGCTCTATGATAATACATAATAATTATGATAATTTCAGACAAAGTATAAACTATTTACATGATTATATTGGTAGCAAATGCCATACAATTATAAATATAGTTTGTGTATGAGGAGCTGTAGCCTGGTTCGCAATACAAAGCACTTGTTTACGCCACTTATAACATTTACCAAGGAAAGGCAACCAGCTGCTTTGGTGCGAATTAGGAAAACTGTTCTGCACATTCTGTTTAATATACACGACTCAATTGTAATGCTAAAAAATTATTAGACACAGCTAATGTACATTATACATGAGAAACATAAGGGAAAACTCATTCGTGAAGATATGTTGGTTGGATATTTTGTTTTTAAAGACACACCTAACAATAGAAAGATAAAAAGATATCTGTTTTAATAAATATATTAAAGTAGATTATGCGTTTATATTTATACAATCGCCATACTGTGTTCGATGTCGTTTTTTTATGTTTGACAGAAAGGGCCTTGGAGTTGCAAATATTATGACAAGCAACTGCCGACCAGATAGGCGTCCACTTGACAGCCGATTATAACACATTTACGAAGCTATTGAAACAATACATTGATAAATTTTCATCTAGATACAAAAGACTGGAAAATATCATTTACGAGCTCCCTTATATTTTGCTTATTTACACTGTTTGCTACGAAAAATCATACCCTTAAGATATTTATTATGGTGGCGCGTACAACTGATACGACGAAAAGTTAACACGGTTTTAGTGCCCAGTTGCTTGTCCCATTATATAATGTCCCAGGTTTGATGGAAAGGGTCGAGGATTTGCAATCAATATATGAATGTAAGAAACCTATGTGAAAAAAACGAAGGAAAACATTTTCATTTTAATTCTAAAATGTACAGTAATATAATGTTCATTTACATAACTAAACTGAAACAAATGCTTGTATTTGATCATTTATTGATTGTTGGCCTTGTGTTTTCCTGAAAGGTATATCATACAATGTAATGGAAATAAATTTATAAATATGAGTCACTGGACACTGGGTCGTCTACATGATGCTAAAATATTTTAGATTAACACTTGAGCATTCAGGATCTTGTTGGCGTATCACATTAGATCGTACAATAACTGACGTATATGCCATGACACACATCCGTGAATAAGCTTCCTTAAATGAAAGTTTAAACGTGATATAGAAATTAGGGAATTCAGAGCCTTAGAACATTGAGTAATAATATAATGCTTTCATTCAGACAAAATACGTTCAAGCAGATGTATCATAATAAGCAACTTTGATGGTGGGTGTAAGTTTACTTGAAGAAGATGTCTCAATTGTTACAGTCTAGCTATTAATAATCATTCCGAGAAACGTGTTCATTCTGTGTATGTCTTCAATAAGTTTGTAGTTTGAATTTTTTGAACGATGCTGAACCCATACTTGTTCCCCTGATTTCACTCTCACTATTCCAGTCACTGAGCTGCAAACGGCATTTTCTCCCACACCATAAAGGTAATCTTTCATGATGACGTTTCCTTCATGAAATATTTCTACATAAACGTATTTCGAAATCGGTGTACACAAATGGACAGCAAACTGGTACAGACCCGAAACAGGGGCTGTGAAGATTCCTGTTGAAGTGTCATATCCAGATCTTTCGTTTATGATGGCATAATTAAATATAATCCGCTCTGTTTCATCGGTGTCAACATCTGTCACATGATGTGCATAAAAAATAACAGGACGTTCATACTTTTCTGTAAATGAATAGGCATGTTAATTGAATGCGTTTAAATGGTATTAGCAGTCAAACAATCAGAATTAAAAATAGATAAATAAATATCATGTTTATGTAGCACATTTGTTCAAAACTACAATACGATAATAAAAGTACATGTTTCCTCTTTTAATTAGTATGAAATTAAACATTAGAAAAAAAACTGGCATTAATCTGTTATTGAGATAAAGACTCTTATACCAAATTTATTACCATGACTTTTCAGTAGCGCGTTCGATATCTATCCAATGTATAATTCATGCAAAAAATGATATTGCATTAGATGTATAAAATAAATGATCAGTTATAACATGTAATTTGTTTCAGGTAGTTATTGACGCTTATAGAAAGTCTGATAAGAAAATATTCCATCGTTTATTACAGAGGACATAATCTTACCTTGTAATTTGACAACACTGTTTCTTTGGCTTTCAATTTCTTGCGTTAAATTCACTCGAGACGCTTCATATAACTTCTCAAAGAACTCTGTAATCAAATTAAAACAACAGCTTTAAAACATTGTGTAAAACATTTAGATGAATGGCATTTTTTATTCTTATTAAACACTGAAATAAAATTCACTATGCAAATAAAATCTGTAAATGTAAAATGCACAATATTGTTTAAATTACAATCAAATTGAGTTTAATGCATCTTATTTACGGCCTACAATCGTTAGAACTAGTCTACAAACATTGTTATGCGCATGCTCCGCTTCAAAATATGACTTTACTTAAACGAAAAATTATCATCGATTGTAATAAATTGTTTACTTTTTTGAACAGCGAATTCGAAAAAGTGACAATAAACACTTTTAATAGATACAATACTGTGAAATTTGAAAAGGGGTATTGTTTTAGGGTAATATATCAGGCCATCATTTTTTACTCATTTCGTTGTAAAGCAATCGGATCATTAACAGTCCAGGTCATTGGAACAGCATGTGAGTTATTATAGCATCATATCTGTAATATAGCATCACTTTAAAGCAAAGCGTCGACGGAGTAAAAACTTTAATTCCACTTATAGAATCCATGAACAAAACATTTACAGACATCAGTTTTAATGTGTAGCATGTAACTTTTGTTAATTACGCAAGTAGCCAATTATTTTTGCCGACTGATGTAATACGCGTTAAATTATTGTGATATTTTTCTTATGAGCAATATTCCCTTGATATTTTGACCCAGAACATGAAAATATCTCAGAACGTTAAAATAATTTAACCTGAATGGAATGGTAGAGTAAATCAAGTATTTTATTGGCTTTATGTGTTGACCACATACAATAAAGGTATTAGGCAAGAAAAGGAATATCATTTCTATATTCATGGCGGCTAAACGGCGATTCAAAGCATTTTCGGAAATGCTCATACTTGTTTTTAGATATAATCATTCCTCATCACGCAGCCATTAAAGGTCGCGTAGAATCAATTATGGCAAAGTCGCCCAACAAGAGGTCGCAAACTTAATGTACTATTTTTACCCCTACATCATCCCCTAAAATTATCAAATTTTATGAACGAAATTCCTGCTTTGTCTATATACAGGTTGCATGTACCTCTTTGAAATGTTTAGCTATATAAAAGGGTTTTCTGCTGTTTACAAGTTTAAAGAATAGTTAATCAACAGTACGTGTATCAAGTTTATGCTGCAATAAGTTGCACTGTTTTTAAGTCAAAATTGAATCTGACCTTTCGAATGACTTGTTTAGCGAAGAATGACTACAGAAGAAGTCAAACATAGGGTAATATTTCAATTTTGAATCAAAGCATTTATAAGCTTCGGACCAAATCATTTTCAATAATTCAAGTTTGTAATGTGTAAATTATTTCTGGTTTTATCTGTATATATACAGCGAACTTGTAGGTGTACTGTTGAACAAAATGTTATGCTATTGAGTAAGCATGTATTATATTTATGTATTTTTGTACTTAAGTTTCTATTGCACAACTTTGGAACACCTCGCCGATTATTCCTTATCTGATAGACTAACGGAAATAGACGATATGTTGCTATTGTTCGCAGATGACATTAGACTAATCAGAGGTTATTACTTTCCCGCCATTCGAACAATTACAGCTGTAAAAAAGACATCTCGCATGTTTCTTTTTAAAGAAGCAAACTTGTACTAGGTACAATTTACAGATTTTGTCAATACCGTACGTGTAAGTCTTGCCTTGCGGGTATAGAATAAAATCAAATTTGATATTAGAAATATTATGCTCTTTATCCAGACGACTTAGGATCACTATGATTGGCCAAAACTCGTCGCCACGAAAACGCCATCCTTATGAAAACGTGAAATATTGTTTCCACGAAAGTTAATTTCAAACTTTGTATAAGTTAAGTTTTTCTAAAGGACAGAAAACATTACAAAATGTCAGCCATTAACGAAGTCTCTGGTAGTTACATAATCAAAACAAAAATGTCAAATAACATCGCTTTAACAAATGGAAATCATGATTTTTATACGAGAAACAGACACCGAAACGTGGAATTACCGTTTAAGCGAGAATAGCGCTAGTGCACCTTTTTCATGCAGTAGCATCCGACTTATTCAATACCTCGCCCTGTGTGTTTTTAATACGTCCTCCTGCTTCTGAAGATGTTAATGCACGCAAAGATTGCATTACCCTCAAGAGTGATTTCAAATGTATAATTAAACTGAATGAAAGACTTCAAATCAACAATGAATTTAAAAATACGAAAAAGTTTCAGCTGTTTGTTTCTTATCGAACAAAACGATAAAATGTTCTAGAAAAAAATCTGCTTTATAGAGGATGTTTAATGAGTGTAAGTTGTATACTGAATTTATTGAACGAGTTGAATAACATAATATTATGCGAGCCTCTGGCGAGCTTAATATTCTTTTATTGAAAGAGTTCAATAAATTTGGAATTGAACTTACACTCTTTTAATATTCCATTTATCACATACCACAAATAAAGACCGTTTGAAGTAAAATAAAACATTTTTCATTGACCGCCTATATTATAACATTGAGCGCGTCTTGACGCTATGTTTACTATGTATATAACTAAAATGGCGTAACATGAAAAAATATGCTCGGCCGTGCAATACCAATATTACGGAGTCGTAAAAGCGGCACGGGTATGTGATAAATTAATACATGTACGTATATGTGACAATTTTCAACGCAATACATATCAATGATTATTTCGTGGTGTTTTGTTATGGGCTGATATAAAATACTATCAACATTATTATTTATTGTATAATAAGCCTTCCATTGCAGGCCAAACCACTTTAAAAGTATTTTAAAAGAAGATAGTAAAATATGTACTTACTTGTTTTCTTCTCAATTTTTTTAGTTTCCTCCAGCATTCGTTCCGTAATGTTGATCTGTAAGCTTTCAAACTTGTCCGTGAATTCTTGAACAGTTTTCTTAATGACGCCTAAAGTGTCCATGACAGTCTCTTGTGTCGCCTTAATTTCGTTTGCCATGGTTTCTACTTTAATTTCAGTCCTTATCATTTTCTCTAAAAGTTGTTCTTCGTAAGCAAATTTTGAACAAACTGGTTCTTTTGCAAGAACAAATTGAAAATTGTATATTTGAAACAAAACAACAAAAGTATAAAACCTTGAGAACAACATTTTGTTACAGACTATTTTGCCTGGATTAATGTCAAGAATGCAACTACATTTTCTGTTCCAGCTGTCCTTTTATAAGTATAGGTTTTTGATTGAAGACGAGGGTTAATCAAGAATATTTGTAGAAATTATATCATTTAATTGCACACTTTTCTTAAGAAACTTAAATTAAATACAGGTATATATTATCACTTAAAATTAGGTTAAAATCGTATTTTGCCGTCTTCGGTGTTCTTTAGAGATTTTGTTTTTTCTCAATATTGTTAACATGACTTAACTGGAAAAAAAACAGTAATGTCATATGTCATGAAGAGCTTTATTCTTGATCAATCGGTTACAACACTATCTAAATACATTTTCCCATTGTTACGGTAAAATGAGTCGATCGTTTGTCAGCAAGCATGAATGATATAATGTCATATGGAACAGATAAGAAAATAATGATAAAATGTGAAGTAAACATGACTCGTGGTTGACTCCATACAAAAAGAAGAATATAACCGGTATGAAACTGTGAGAAAAAACAACAACAACAAAATAAACAAAACAAAAACACCGAATTAACTTCTTAAATTAAGATTGACGAAATTTGTGATCTTCAGTGATTTTCTTATGGTTAGCGTTAGTAGGGTGGGGTGTAGAACAGCAAAGATAAAAAACATTGGCACGAGAAATAGTCTTTGCTGGAGAAATAGGGGTGGTAATTGTCTTGTTATATTCAAAATAGTATTGAACTATTTAAAAAGTATTTGTAGTTTTGATATCAAAATTGATTGTTGTGATGTAAAATAAACATTGCTACTTATTTGACATAACTCGATTAATCACTGAGGCAGGATGATTATTATGTGTTAACTTACAATGTAGTGTTTTCCCTTTGAACATTTTGGGAACTCCTCAATCCTTCAAGAGTGGTACCATAGCATTTGCTACAAAGAACATATTGTAAAGTATCATATGTTTCAACTTAAATTAAAGTGAGCACAAAACTTAAGTGTCTGAAGTAAAAGTCATTAAAATTTCTATCAAAACTTAGTTTATTATCATTATGCACTTTCCTTAAATAATTTTGCATTCCATCTAAAAGTGGAATCATATAAATTTGGATTTGAATATCGTGGGAAAATAGCAACAAGCTAACAATAAGTACCTTGAAAAATAGTCATTATAAAAATTCTATTCAGTTTGAAAAATATTTATGTCTCATAACACAATAAGTATTTATATCTTGTTCTCAATCTAAACTTATAATTGTTTAAAAAAATTCAAAGATACTTATTTGATTTAACAATCATTGTTGTTCTTATACTTTCACATAAGTATCTTTTAAATACTTTTACAAACGAACACGAAACAAATAGTTTGTAATCTAAAACCTAGCGCTTTATCAACTAATTTCCTTGAGCGCTCAGTCTTTCAATGTTGAGTATAATAGTCAGCGTTTGTTTGAATAAATTTTCGATTCAACATCTGGAAGAGAATTATAGAAGTTATAACTTTGCAAAGATCCAGCTCATGAATTGATAAAGGATGCATTCATTCATTTTTTCGGAATTATGGATAGTACACAATACTAAATAAAAATACACAATCATTGTTACAATGCCTGTTAATTAATAAAAAAAGGGGTAATCAAAATACACTGTTGATATTAATTTAATATCATTATCGTTTAAAGACCGTGCCTGCTCAAGTAACAACTGTGCTTTTTTTCAGCAGTGATATTTTACGATTGTTTATGTTTTAGGCTTATGGTAATAAAACTGTGTTCGTTAAAGTTTTATTTCTTTATTTTCTTTAAATTTTTATTTTCGTAAATAGAAACATCAACTTTAATAGCTTGAATTTAACAACATTTAGAAATAGGTTTAGATGAGTTTATAAACATAAACTTGAATTTATGTTTCAGAAAATATTTATTCATTACAAATTACTGCTTTATAATTTAAAGAATATGTTTGCTTTTTGCTTATATAATGATTACCTAAAAAAAGGTTTACATATTTTCCCATGTGGTTTAGAAATAAACATGTTTACCCTTGTGTTTTATTTTTTGTATTTAATTTAAAGCACATATCTTTTAATTTAATATTCAAAAACAAGTCTATTGTACCTTTATATATGTCAAAATGATAATTATAATATTTTCTGTACTTCTAAGCATTAAAACCCTCTGATGATTTTGACGGATATGTTTTGGTATTTAAAAGAAAATTGGCTTGCTCCAATGTTGCCAATGTTTTTTTTTAAACTCTCTTGTAATCATTATTTCTTATGAAGTCTTATAAATGAGACATTCGTTAAAAAAATCTTTTAAATACTTTTTCAAACGAACACGAAACAAATAGTTTGTAATCTAAAACCTAGCGCTTTATCAACTAATTTCCTTGAGCGCTCAGTCTTTCAATGTTGAGTATAAAAGTCAGCGTTTGTTTGAATAAATTTTCGATTCAACATCTGGAAGAGAATTATAGAAGTTATAACTTTGCAAAGATCCAGCTCATGAATTGATTAAAAGGATGCATTCATTCATTTTTTCGGGAATTATGGATAGTACACAATACTAAATAAAAATACACATCATTGTTACAATGCCTGTTAATAATAAAAAAAAGGGGTAATCAAAATACACTGTTAATTAATTTTAATATCATTATCGTTTTAAAGACCGTGCCTGCTCAAAGTAACAACTGTGCTTTTTTTCAGCAGTGATATTAATTGTTTATGTTTTAGGCTATCATTGGTAATCTGTGTTCGTTAAAGATTTTCTTTAAATTTTTATTTTCGTAAAATAGAAACATCAAACTTTAATAGCTGAATTTAACAACATTTAGAAATAGGTTTAGATGAGTTTATAACAATAAACTTGAATTTTTTTATGTTTCAGAAATATTTTATTCATTTACAAATTTAGTGCTTTAATAAATTTAAAGAATAATGTTTGCTTTTTGCTTATTATAATTATTACCTAAAAAAAAGGTTTACCATATTTTCCCAATGTGGTTAGAAATTTAAACATGTTTACCCTTGTGTTTTAATTTTTTGTATTTAATTTAAAGCACATTATTCTTTTAATTTAATAAATTCAAAAACCAAAGTCTATTGTACCTTTAATATAATGTCCCCAAAAATAGAAATATATAATAATGGCCTATATTTTTGTACCCTTCTAAGCATTTAAAAAACCCTCTGAATGATTTTTTGACGGGATATGTTTTGCGTATTTAAAAGAAATTGGCTTGCTCCAATGTTGCCCCAATAGTTTTTTTTTTAAAACTCTCTTGTAATCATTAGTTTCTTAAAATGAAAGTCTTATAAATGAGACATTCGTTTAAAAAAATCGGACAAGAACAAAATTTTTTTGTAAATATTCTAATTAACAGAAGCACAATTTATTCGCAAAATGTACCATAGAAATATTTCAAAGAAAAGAGAGAAATTATTCAAACTGATAGAATCAGAATTCAAATAATTATTTAACTAGTTGAAATACCCAAACAAACGCTTCATTAACGTGTATTTATGCCCATCCAAGTGTAAATGGTATGTGAACATGTCAAAATCAAAATTACTTAACTTGTTGCCAAAATTGATTTTAATTTAATAACCTAGGCTATATGTGGCTCACAAAAAAATTCTCATTGACGCAGCATTAGCTGGCTCTTATGCTTGTTCTCCCATGTCTTTCTTTTGACAAAATTATGATATATTTATGTTTAAACAGTTGTCTATAATCTTAAACATTTCATTATCAAATAATTGGTCAATGGTCATTATAATGTTCAATCTGTTTACTGTATATATACAGCTAAAGAAATAAATAATTATTTAAGGATATAAGATGGATTAACCATTACAATGTAGAGATATAGTATCACACGAGAAGAATATAACATATACTTAAAGATATTTTGTATAAGTATAACATATAAATTCTGCGAGAAGCCTTTTGCATTAATTTCCAGCTAAATACTGATATATCTTATATCAGTTTTATTTCAAGCAGACATCTTTACTAGTGCCCATTAGGAACCACATATAATTCAGATGTCAGTTTAAATGACTTTTGTAAACAGAAACAGCATGTACACATGTATATAGAAGAGCCACAGTAAATATTTAAACAAGAAATGACATCAACGTATGTTGCATTTAAATGGAGTTTGAAGCCAAAATATTTTTTTTTTCAAAATTCGCTAATGTTGAAAGTAAGCTTTTCATTTTTGTTTTATAACGGGATTGTTTATACATTATACTTTTTTTCAAATACGCATTGTATTGATTACTTGTTGATGGTATTTCTTTTTATTTCTTCTTTTTAATTTATATTTATGGTTTATATTTTTTGTTGATAATTCTACTTAAAACAGGGTTACATTGCATTATGTCTGGGTTCAAAAATCTAGATATTGCCCTTTAATATAGTTAGCCGCGTTAGTGATTGCAATAGGATCTCATGTTTTGAACTGCCCTATTGTCCATTTACAATGATGAAAAGTAAATAAAATGAACAGAAACGTATCAGAGGCCCAACACAAATCAAAAACGAACAAACGTTCATTAATATATTTAAAAATGGAGTCCACCCATTCGAATACAACTATACCGTCGACGTAATATTTGAAGGACCAACAAACCTACAAAGATCAGAGGCTTACATACAGGTATCAGTACAAAACGTCAACGGGACACATTAGCGATTACGTCAAACCAAAAATCTTATGACGCAGCATAAGAAAAATACAAAGCATAATCTTGATGTTCATATGATTTGAATGAATGAGTGAGAAATGAATGAATAAATATATAAACGAACGAACGAAATGATGCAATATACGTATATGTTTTTAAACAAATTGTTGAGTGTCTGTCGAAAAGTATACGAGTTGTAATATTCAAAAAATTACATATTATACATTCATTTTTCTACCTATGCATATCCTGTTTTGTTTGTTGTTGTTGTTTCTATTTCAGAAGGCCACATTGGAAAATAAAGATATATATGATTGTTATTGTATGTTCTTAATGTGTAACCTTCTTTAAATAAAGAATATTATT